ACAAAGTCTCTGAGGTGTCCGTCCTCTAGGGCTGTCCACAACTCGTTGTCCGAAAACTTGTTAAACGGATCCAAATTCGTGCGAATGGTTCCCGAGAAGAGCACCGGGTCTTGAGGTATGATTGTTAACCGACTCCTCAACTCCTATTCATTTAAAACATTTATTAAATGAAATATATTTCAAAACAGTGTGTGATTTACCTGAAGACCAAGTTTACTGATATCTATGCCATCGATGGATATCTTTCCAAAGGCTGACTCTATGAGTCTAAACAACGCCAGAGTTAGCGACGACTTTCCCGCACCCGTCCGACCGACGATTCCCACCTAATAATCACATAATAAAGACAATTATTAAATAAATGACTTCTTTATTACCCATTACTACCAAAAACAACTCACTTTCTCTCCCTTTCCCACATTCAGATCAATGCCTTTGAGCACCAAATCCAAGCCCTCCCTATATCTCGTGCCGTAACCCGAGAACTCGACACAACCCCTTTCCGGCCAGTTATCCGACAACTGCTGATTTGAATACCAATCGGCTTCTGAATCAATATCGCAATACTCGTCGATCCGCTCGACGGCCACCACATTGTTCTCGAAGTCGGCAAACATGCGGACACACATATTCAGCGCCATCGTTATGTTCATTGCATACGATATGGACAGTCCGGTGTCGCCGGGATCGAGGGTGTCTCTCGACAGGACGGCGAACAGTGCGGCAAAAAATATGAGACAATTGGCCAACACTTCCAGTCGCACCTGTAACCAACAGTTGGAGATGGCGTTCGGGTAGAAACACATCTGATTCTTGTCGACCCGTTTGTCGGACTCCCGGATGAACCGGTCGTTCACGCCGTACGCCCTGATCGTCGACACGCCGTTCACTGTTTCGCTGAAATGGGTATATATTGGAGACCTCGTGATCGACTCGAGTCTGAGATTTAGACAATTCATTAAAGAAATGTATTTTTATTATAGCTTTTACTTTGCAAACCTTTTCAACTGTCGGGATGTCATCACATAAAATCTCTGTTTAATTAGGGATAACAATCACATTAATTACACATGATTATATCAAATGTTAAGTTAAGTGTATGTCTACTATGAAACCTATTCAATAAATTGAATGATTGTATACCTGTACAAAATAGTAAATTATCATAACAGGGAAAAATACGGACAAAAACAGTGGCGTCTGTATTGAGACGATTATAATTGTGGCCAACACTGAGAATGTCTTATTCAATAAATTGAATGAATGTATACCTGGACAAAATAGTAAATTATCATAACAGGGAAAAATACGGACAAAAACAGTGGCGTCTGTATTGAGACGATTATAATTGTGGCCAACACTGAGAATGTCGTGTTTATCAGTATTCTGTGTATTTCATCATAAGAACATACCATTAGATAACAGTATAAGTCTACCCAAAAAACTATCAGGCTCACCTCATATTCATTTGCATCAATGAGTCCAAAATATCGATGTCTTTGCTAAACCTGTTGAGTATCCGACCCAATGGGGTGGTGTCGAAGAAGCTCATGGGGGCGTGCATTATGCCGCTTAAAATAGTAAATTATCATAACAGGGAAAAATACGGACAAAAACAGTGGCGTCTGTATTGAGACGATTATAATTGTGGCCAACACTGAGAATGTCGTGTTTATCAGTATTCTGTGTATTTCATCATAAAAACATACCATTAATCACTACAATATTGGTACATGGCAAACTTAAACTCCAAAAATGAAGATACCAGTATAAGTTTACCCAAAAAGCCATCAGGCTCACCTCATATTCATTTGCATCAATGAGTCCAAAATATCGATGTCTTTGCTAAACCTGTTGAGTATCCGACCCAATGGGGTGGTGTCGAAGAAGCTCATGGGGGCGTGCATTATGCCGCTCAACAGCTTTTGGTGCATACCTCCGGAGGCCGACAGAGTGCCCGTCACAATGGACAGCCATCCCCCGCATATGAATATGGCTTCACAGCCACCGATGAGCACATATATCCCGAAATAGTAGCCATTCTTATCGGTTCTGTGATCTTCACTCCATTCAGATAACCAGAAACTGGACCCGGAGTTCGCGGTAGTCATGAGTATATAACACACGAGTATGGATACCGTCCATAACATGGACATCGCCTTCGAGTACTTCTGATACACCGTTAGCTTCACGTTTCCGGTCTCAGCCTTTTCGGCCTCCACGAGACGGGCCATGTCCTTCTTCTCACCTCCCGGTGCCTCCTTGTTATCAGTAGTCGTTGTCGTCCTTTTCCTGGTCTTAAGTACAGTCTCTGGTTCTTCGGATTCCTCATCGGTTTTGTCGGTCACATACTGTTGGATGAGTTCAACGAAGTCTCCCTTTTGTGACATTAACTGCTCGTAAGTACCGATTGAACTCATTTCGCCGTTTTTTAGGACTATAATTAAGTCAACGTTTGGCAAAACAAACAATTGATTCGTCACTAAAATCCGGGTCTTATTTTTCAAGAGTCCGGTCTTGGAGTTCAACACTTCGTCCATAATATGTTTTCCCACGTGACTGTCCACTGGTTTGTTAAGAATTAAATTATTTATCAAATAAACAATCAATTAAATGGATATTAAAATCAGTGAATACCCGCTGAGAGGGGGTCGTCGAGTAGGTATAGGTCGGCGTCCGCATAGACAGCTCGGGCTAAACTGACTCTCTGTTTCTGACCGCCACTCAAATTAATGCCTTTCTCTCCAATCTCTGTGCGATCTCCGGCCGAAAGGGTCAGTAAGTCCTGTTTGAGGGCACAGGCGTCGAGGACGTGGTCATACAGCTTATCGTCTAATGGATTGCCGAATACGATATTATCCTTAACTGTGGCGTTTTGAATCCAGGCCAATTGGGGCACGTATGCCACCTTAGCGCCACTTTTTATGGTCACACTACCGCTCACTTTCTCCATTTCCCCCAATACGGCCGACAACANGAATACGATATTATCCTTAACTGTGGCGTTTTGAATCCAGGCCAATTGGGGCACGTATGCCACCTTAGCGCCACTTTTTATGGTCACACTACCGCTCACTTTCTCCATTTCCCCCAATACGGCCGACAACAAGGAGCTCTTGCCGGAGCCTACAGTCCCCACCACCGCCACAAACATGCCATCCGTCACCTTAAAGTCCAGGTTATCTAACGTAGGTTTGGCGCCGTGTTTGTCCACCTCTTCGACACTATCCCATGTGAACGAACCCTTATCTACGGTCACCATATGTTTTGTGTCCTCTTTTCGCTGCACATATCCACTCAACTCTTCGGAGTCCAAGAATCGGTTCATTCGTTTCACCGAAACACTGGTCTAGAAAATAATTGAAAAAATTAATGAATAGTTAATAACTCGTAGCTAAATAAACTAGGTACTTACTAGAATCAATCCGTTGATCATATTGGGTATTATCATCAGCGGCATCCTTAATAAGTTGAACAACGATATCGAGACAAACACTTTGGACGCGTCTAAGACGTTGTTGCTATCGATAGCGATATAGATGCCGAAGGTTAGGGCGGCCACGAAGAAGGGGGCGCAGGAGGCGATGCACACGAATATAGTGGATAAGTAACCGCCTTTTCGCAAGTATTTCAGCTCCTGTTCCCTGATCTTAAGTATCATTTGCGTGAACGCTTCCTCCCAGGCGTACAACTAATTAATGGGTTAATAGTTATAATTAGTTTTAGTATTAATG